AAAAAAAATGCTCCAGGAGTCGAATACTGTTTCTATAAATTTTAAGTCAGTTGACAAATTGATAATATGAACATACAGACTTAAGCCATAAAAAATATCTTCATCACTTGTTGAAAAAATTCTGTAAGAACAACTACAGAAGCCTCCTATTATATTTTCATCAATGGTGTCTTCTTTCACTTTTATGTCGCTTGACAGTGTGTCGTTAACTTTCTTTAAGTTTTTTCAAGAACTTGTTTACTCGCCTGATCCACTGCATTTTTTTCACGTGCTCAAGGTGTTTTTGTCTTTGAGTTATTTCTTCCAAGTCTTCTCTTAAAAAAATAATTAATTTTTAAACTAAAGTTTTCAGTTGTAAACAAAATTCGTGATTGTAAGTGTAACAATTACATCAACAGTTATTAGTGGAAGAGGATAACTACAAAATCAACAAAGTTAAAAGGTGCTACGTGAGTAAATAAGTAACCTAATAAATAGTGTTAATGAACAACAATAAAAAGATAAAAGCTGTATTTTATTCTATTCAATTTTTACATCACCTGATGAGTTTTGTGGCCAATACCTTGATTTGATTAAAATAACAGTTTCTGTAACTTTTACGTCGGATTCTAGGAAGTTTATAATTGAAATGTGAGCTTAGTAATTGACTTAGCACACGGATATTTAAAATTCCAGGAATTATGAAACTTATTTCTGTTAGTTGTTTTTGTGTGGTTAGAATATGACACTGTCGTACAATGTTCAAATTTTATGATAGTGACATTCTCCACCAATAACGCTATGTGCAGGTTACTTGTATACTTGTGAATGGTAGTTACTCTGACAATAAGTTGTACATTCTAATCCTTTTTTTCACTTAGGGGCAAAAATTAAGCATTTAAAATTGAAAAAAATTGCTGTAAGACTACCTTTACGAAACGATTTAAATGCTTTTGATAAGATATAAAAATGCATAGAAAAATAAACTACCTAACGCAGAGGAGTGATTAAACTCGTAAGATTTTCAATGAAATCTAGGTTAATTTTTTTGTTAACTTAAGCTTAAACACTACCTAAATGTATTTGCTTGAGGGAAGAGAGAGAGAGAATCTTAACTTACTGAAAACGCCTGACTTGTACAACGTTGTCGAATGTTACTTGTTTACCACTTCTAGGAATCTCTCGTACTCTTTTTCTTCGAACTAGAATGCTTTTTATCGATTCAGCGTGCACGTGAGGGCTTGAAATAATAACACCTTTTCAGCATCTGATATAGGCATTTAACAAGGCAAATACAGTAAAATACCAAACGTTTTTCTATATATATATAAGCTTAATTATATGTTTGTCAGTCCGATAAATCCTTCCCCACCATTTTATCAATCACCACCACTTTTGTTATGGTGACTCCTACGGTCTCCAGATGTAACATGAAGGGGCAAAATTCCCATAAAAGCAGATTTTTGGCTTTTAATTCATTTTCTGTCTTCGTGTCACGCTTCTTTTAATAATACTCAACACTATACATCGTCGCTTAGCAAAAAACTATCACGATATTGTTGTTAGGCCGACAATGTTGTTTATGTTGAACGCATAATGTACATATTAATTTGTGGTTTATTTTTATTTTCTCTGTTTGTAATAACTTCGGTAATATAAAAGCAATGTTAATGTTGGAAAGTTTCCGATCAACCAGTCAAACAATTACGTTACTATTCCAGACAAATGTTACTTTAGGATGCAGAATAGCTAAAGGAAAACGTGTTCCCTAATATTTGTCAAAATTATTTATGGTTGTGTAAAAGAACAATTCTTGCACCTCGAAATGATACTGTTAATGACATAAATGATCAATTATTGCAAATGGTTCACCTAAAGCCCAACTGTCAATGTTCCAGTTACAGATTATGATGTAAATTACCCAACTGAATTCCTAAATTCTCTTGAACCACCAGGAATGCCAGGTCACGTTCCGAAATTAAAGGTTGGTTCACCACTAATGTTATTGAAAAATCTTGATCCTCGAAAATTATGTAATGGTACAAGTTTAGTTGTTAAGACTTTACTGCCACATGTTATTAAAGCAACAATTACAACTGGTCATGCCAAAGGTGCAGATGTCTTCATTCCAAGAATTCCTTTGCTACGAAGTGATTGCCCCTTTGAATTTAGAAGGCTCCGATTCCCAGTTACAAATTGTTTTGCAATGCCAATTAATAAGGCACAAGGCCAAAGTTTAAAGGTTGCTGGATTGTTCCTGAAGCAGTCTTGCTTTTCACATGGTCAATTCTATGTAGGATGTTCAACTGTTAGATGTAATCAAAACCTGTTTATATTGTCCAAAGGAACAACAGCCAATATGGTATGTCAAGAAGTTTTAATTTAGTTTGTGTAATTGTTTTTGAAAATCAAAGGCTTATATAAAACTTAAAATGTAATGAAAATTGAATTTTTATAATATATGTTCTTAAAAGTAATTTCATTGTGCTTTTAAATATCTATTTCAAATAATTTGGATACCTGTGCAGAGAACAGGTAATTCAGCTGATCTTTATATATATATTATATTATATTATATATATATTACAAGGGCGCCCACAAAACAAAATTAGGGGGGATCAAGTAACTCAAGTTTGAAAAAATTATGAAATCAAAATACAAATACCTTATGATTTTCCAATAACATAAAAGAATAATTTTACATATTTAGCAATTTTTTCTTTTTGAAAATCCGAGGGGGGGGGGGGTAAGATACCCCATTTGCTCCTTCCTGCGAGCGCCCATGTATATATA